CGACCCTGATGGCCGTGATGCGGCACAGCGAGCGAATGGACGACATGTTCCCCGGGTGGGACCGGCGCTTCGAGCCGGCCGAGGCGTACGCGCCGTACGACTTGAACATGGTGCGTGAGAAGTAGATTTTCTGGACAAGTCTCTTCTTCAGCCGCAGAAGCTGCCCATCCACCGGCCGATCGACAACTACCGACGTGACCCGATGCTGACGCGGACCGGCTGTATCCTTGCTCAAATCGTCGGCCAGGGGTTGTACTATCGGGACAAGAGTCCAGGTATTTGAGCATTGATGGGAGCAGGAGGATATTAAAACCTGTTTCAAGACGTCATCTACTGCTCCCCCGCCCTTCGTTGTCTCCAAACGGCCGAATTTGTGCGCCAGGCTTCTGGAAGCTCGGTATTTGCACTCTCTCCGACGACACCAAACAGCTCAGGCCTCACTCCGCGTCGAGCCGGGCCTCTTCGAGAACATGTCCCTCTACGACGCCAAGCCCAAGCTGCTCAGCCCCGAGCACCGCACCTGCTTCGGCGTCGACCGGGACTACAAGCCGCTGTTTGATTTTGATCAGGTAAGGACAGCTTCTGTATCTGGTAGATGCCCTTTAGATGTACGAGAAGGGCGAGACGAACAAAGACTACAACGAGCGCATCCACACCGTCCTCCACCGCATCGCCACCACGGCCGAGACGTGCGATGGGCCGAGAAGGGATGAAAGCAGGGTTTTGGTGAGGGCGAGAGAGAGAGATAGAGAGATAGATAGAGCGAGAGAGGGAAAGAGAGAGCGAGAGGGAGAGAGAGACATCATCTTCTAGGTGGTCGGGCACGCGTCGACGGTGGACATGGCGGTCGGGCTGCTCGGCGAGCCGGTGCGGCACAGTACGATGCAGGATCTGCACAAGATTGGGGACAGGTATGTTACTTTCAGCAGGGTGTACCGCTTGAAGTTGTCGTTTTTCCTAAACTCAAGCTTTGCCTCTTTTGAAGCAGTTCATTGAATTTTAGTCCTTAAAGTTGTGGTGATCTCGATCGCAAATTTAACATCCTTTTTGAGAGAATGTTAGGTTCCGTTCGAACTCCTTGAAGGGGTCGCTTCACTATCCTCGAATTGGACCGTTTTATGATTCGAACTTCTTTTTCGCGGCGTTTTTTCGCTGATGGCGTACTCCTTGAAGTGGTCATTGTGCCTAGATCACGATTTCACCACTATCCTACCTTATATAATTTTTGGCGTGTATCTTTGTGTATGTGTGTGGATGTGTGGATGTGGATGTATTTCGAGGCCCGATTTGAAGGCCTTCCCGTGTCCAAAATGCCTTAATTCTCCGTCACCCGGGGGAATCGACCTTTCTGTTTCCGATGGCGTGCTCAGAATTTTGATAAAATACAAGGTTACAAAGTTAAAGCCGATTTTATTAATTTTGGGGGTTCGGGAGGGATAATTTGCATAATGTGAAAAAAATACAAATCTCCTCATTCTTGCAAGTTGCACTCGCGTGTGTGGCCGGTGGAGGGGGCGGGGAGGGGGGTCCGAAGGACCCAAGCTATTGGAAAGTCAAACTTCTCATGCAAAGGCCGCATTCCAGCGCCCAAGGCCCGCGAAGCGGGTTGTGGGCGCTGGTATATTACATAAAATTTCCAGGGTCCCGTACTGCTCGCTGGTGTGCCTCGTGCCGCAGAAGCCGACGCTCGCCCCGACGGCCGACAGTGTTTGGAAGCTGCAGATCGGTGAGTTTTTGTAGATGAGCAGTTGCACCCCTCGATGAATTTTCACAACAAACTTCTGGTCTCAATTATCCCTTCCAGGCGCCGTCCCGCCGGTCTCCTACAAGAACTTCAGCAACCGCCCCAACCACCTCTTCATCATGCGGAAATAAGCCGGAGCAGCAGCCACTACTCGCTTAATTGATTCATCCCCTTCCCTCTCGATTGTTAATGCCCCTTTAATGCTCGGACTCACTAGGCGGTTTTGTCCGTTTCGTTGTCTTGACATCATACTCAGTACATATCGCACTTCATACGCCGTTTGAATAAAGGGTTTTGCTGGAGAGGGCTAGAGAGAGAGAGAGAGCGTGAGAGAGAGCGAGAGTGAGAGAGAGAGGAGAGACGATCTTCCCAAGCACCCAAAGTCCATTCGGGTGCAAGTTTTCGATTCAGCCCGACCTTCCCTTGGTCGTAAACACAGCCGAACGGTTGGGCACGTGCGTTAGCTTTCATGGAAAATTGACCTTTCTCTAATTGCTTCATGCATAAATCAAAAATTTCAAAATTCCATTCATAGCTTGACTAGCCAGCCACAGCTGCGAAAACTTGAAAACTTCAGTAGCGGGAAATTAATTTTGCTTTTTTTCCGTCCATAGCTGTAAAGAAAAAACGGCGTAATTTTAGAACGTTCTGCATAACTTTTGCTTGCTAGAAAACTATAAAAATATTTTAAAAATTTTTCAATATTCGCAAAATAAAAAATGTTTGAAACTTGCCTTCTCCTGCTAACAGTCCAGTACCAACGTCTTCGCTCCAGATAATGATCAACAACCCTCAAAAACTATCCTCTTGTCCTACTCATTCCCCCGTTCCGTTTTTCCGCATTGCCAGGTATTGCTCTATGGGCAGGGAGACCGGTATCCGGGAATACGAGCGGCGGGGGGGGGCAATATGACAAGATTGGAACTGCTGCTGATGCTGCGTGCCCTCCGGGAATGCGAGACGCACTCCCTGTCGTGGATTGGCATCTGGAACAACGAACCACTCGGGATGGGGAATCAGGTATAAAAGGAAGCGGACGGGTTCCTGACAGTCTTGGGGTCAACGTTGGGGTTGGCATCATTCTCATATCTTTCAGGGTCTTATCGCTGTCTTAACCTTGACTTCACTGACTTTCGTTCCGAAATTTTTTATTCGATCAGAGCTCAAAAATTTTGTTATTACCGTCCGAAAAACCGTTGTTTCTCAGAATCTCGTTTTTTAAGGTATTATCCGGTAGTTCCCTGGGTTTATCGCATACCTCTATAGAAGCCATTTACTCAATCTTAGGTGATGAAGTCCGACGCCGGAGCTTTGGCCTGCTACTCGGCCATTTTACTCTCCTCTTTCACGCTCCTGCTCAGCGTCGTCTACTTCCCGTCGATGACCAACAACATTCACGACATCCAGTCCAACCTACAGGTAATCAAACCCGAAAAATCACTTTGAAAAATCATCTTTGGTCTCAAATCTTGACATTAAAATTTTGGCAATTATAACGCCACTAAAAATTTATAAAACAAGAAACAAAAAATAACCAACAAAGGACGATCCATCATTTTAGACCCACAACGACGAGTTCAAAGTCCTTGAGCGTGAGGTGAGGGATAATATGCGTGGCTTGGAGCGATCGGGACTGAAACGCGAGAAGCGCCAGGCCTATGAGATTGGCACATGCGGTAAGTAGCACTACATATTAACAAGATCAAAAACTATATCAACCTCAAAACGAGCCGTTTTTAGCCTGCGACAACAACAACGGATGCCCGGCCGGCCCGAAAGGTCGTCCTGGACCTCCTGGAGAACCCGGGGAAATGGGTATGCCCGGAATGCCGGGCGATGTTGGGAAAGTTGGCGTGACGCCACAGGAGGAGCCGCGGAAGTATGCTGAGGGTTGCAGGTTGGTAATATTGTTTTATATGGTTCAATTCAGTAATTTTCCGATTTCTTTCGTAAAGTTTTTTTTTTACCGAACGCATCGAACGATGAAAATACAAATTTTTAATTTTTGTGATCGAAAGTAGAGTAGGAAATTAAAAATCCAGGGTCCGGAAAATATATAAGGATACTTATGATAATAAAAACAAAAAATGCCGAGGCGCGGTTGAGTTTCGATTGATAGTAGATAGCAGCTAGGTGCACTAATAGGAGAAGGTATCTCCAGATCTTTTGGTGTTTTAAGTGCATTAATGATAACATTACCATCATAAACTTTCAAAGCTTTAAAAAACTGAATTTACAACTCAACTTCCTTTTCCAGACGCTGCCCAGACGGCCCGCCCGGACCTCCTGGCTATCCTGGAAGCCCCGGAGAAATGGGTTCTCCCGGTGAGCCTGGAGCCCCAGGTCTTGTGGGTAGACTCGGGCAACCTGGACCAGGTGGAAACCCTGGAGATCGAGGACCTGATGGGGAGGGTGGGAAACCGGGAGAGCCTGGAATGCCTGGAAGGGAAGGTGTTAAGGGTCAGAAGGGACCCGCTGGCGACCCGGGACAACATGGGGAGCCTGGACAACCTGGTAAGTTACAAAAACCTTGGCGGCTTATTGTAATGAATTGAGCTACGGAGTGCAACGTCCTATTTCAGGAACACCTGGCTGGGCTGGAGAACAAGGAAAGCAAGGTCAGCCTGGTGAAAATGGACGGCCAGGAGAGCCGGGGCAACCTGGGCAAGATGGTCAGCCGGGATATCCTGGAGATGCAGGAGCTGATGTAGGTTATTTGGGAAAGCGAGCGAGAGCGATCACGGACGAGAGAGAAATGGCGATAAAACGATAAAATGAAGGCGAAGGCCGGGAAAGCGAACGAGTACGAGTGTGTACAAGAGAGAAAGAGAAAGAGGGCGAGAGAGAGAGATAGAGAGAGAGAGATACATAAAATGCTTTTACAGGGAAACCCCGGCGAAGACGCCAACTACTGCCACTGCCCCCGTCGAGCCCAAAAATTCCGAAATCGCCTTGCATAAATCGCATTTATTCGAGTTTTTATTCAATATAAAATACGCAAAAACACAATGACAAAAATCAGATCCATTCAAGGAGTAGATTCTGGGATATATTTGGTTATTCTAGAGAGGATCAATGCATTGGACTAAAGGGTAAAAGATTAGCTCAGAGACCCTGGGCCAAAATTGGAGGTACCAGAAGCTCATCGTACAATAATAAGTTTAAAGGGACCAAGAAGGCAAAATGGAGTATTAGCTGTCCGCCAGAAGCATATTTTGCCTTCACATCTCCTTCAAAACATACGGAAAATTCCTTAATCCTTGTTTTTCTTGTGGAAATCGGCGACCCGCTGCCGGTGGAGTCCCAACATGCCGAATGGAACGAAAAGCTGCTTGAAGAACCAGGGGCTGATGAGTTGGGCGAGGGCGATCTAGAGATATGCAAATTAGCTACCAAACAGTTTTATAATCACAAAAAATCGTTAAAGATATTAAAGTTTTCTGAGTTTCTAAATAAGGTAAAAATCAAGAACGGAACAAGCCTAAAAACATACCTGGAAATCGTGCTGCCAGCAACCGCAGATAAGTTCGAAGGTACCGATTGCTCGAACGGCCTGAAATGAAGTTATTTTTATCATTCTCTCTCTCTCTCGCTGTCTCTCTCCCTCTCTCTCGCTATCTTTCTCTATCTCCCTCTCTTTTACCTGTCGCGCAAACGTCTCCGTCGAAACCACAAAAATATCGTTAGCTTCCGACTTGTCATAGCTGGCGAGGCTAGTGGCAACCAGCATAGGGACGAGACACTAAAATGCCAATCTATGCGATATTGAGGTTCCCGTTGTGTTCACCTCCTTATTAAAGTAGTACTGCACTCTAGTTGTATTTAGAAGTAACAATCATGCAACATTAACAAGAAGTAAAAACATACCTGAACCTTCACACCGGTCCCTCGGAACTCATCTGACAGTGTATCGGAGAAGAACGAAATTGCAGCCTTGCTAGCCGGGTAAGAGCTGGTGTACGGAAGCGGGCGCCATCCCTGAAAAAGGCTCTTGATTTTTCCATTAAAATTAAAATGCTCTCTACTCTTTTCTAATCAAAAAGGATTAGTTCTGCATCGAGCCACTGAGATCAAGAATTTTCGTTGGTTCGGTTACGGCTAAGCCTAAGCTTTCGGGGTGATGAAATTACAGCCTATGGAAGTTTTTATCAATATCTTTTTGTTACCCTCAATTTAATGCTCAGACAACAATTTCGAGACATTCTTCTAGATGCTGATAGCCCGCAAGCTCGGCTCCTCCAGTTCTTGCCACTAATATCGGATGCATGCCCCCCCCCGTTTTTCACCAACTTCCGGCCCCCCACTTGAAAGCCACTTGGGCGGCTCATTTATGAGGAAGTTTTTTGCTTTCGAACCTTACTTAAGTTTGAAACTTATTGTTTTGTGGTCCGGCTCGGAATCGTCATTCTCATCTTGCCGATTTTTAAGACTTTCTTGAGAATGCGTACGTTCCGGAATCGGTCTACCTTGAGTTTTGAAAGGAGCTAGAGTGAGTGTGAATGCGAGAGTGAAATAAAGCCCAAAAGGGGTTGGGAGAGAGATGAGAGAGAAAGTGAGAGAGAGCGAGCGAGAGGGAGAGCGAGTGAGAGAGAGGGAGAGAAAGACAGAGACGTAGAGAGAAAATGCGATTATGATATGATATTTTTAATGACACCATCCCTTCAAATAGATTCTTGCCTTCCTATGCTAATTTCTGAGCGCCGGTAGTCTACCAAAACATAAACTTGTTTTTGACCCGTTCTCAGAACCTCGGACCCGAATCAGCGACCCGGAATTAAGGCAGCAACCGGCCAAAGGGTAAGTGAAATCGGGGAATTAGCGGAAAATGAGGGTCCCTCGTGAATTCCTGGGTAGGTATAATTAAATGACCCGTCGGGGCAAGGGGGTTGCGATTTTTCATTTTCGAACTGGCTGATCGGTCTGGGTTGCATTGTGGTCCTAGATTGTGCTTTGTTGCTATAGAATTGCCGAAAAATCTTTTACTCTGATAATTTTAGGCTTTTTAAGTTTAGGATGTGTTTTCGTCAAGTTTTCTAGAATATTTCGCGCTAGCGGCAATTTTGAACTCGAGAAAAACAAACTAATTGTTTAAAAAATTGTTTGCGGAATTTCTGAGCAATCTTACAACATCTTTGCGACCTCCACGAGATTTTTGATTGCCAATAAAACACATCGGGCGCTACACGATTTGTCATGGAGCTTGAGGCTTGAGTAATCGTGAAAACCAAGCCAATTTTTGGGGCCAGAGCGCGAATTGGGAATTTGGGTGGGTGGGGGTGGCGTTCCAGAGAAACATGCTGCGAAAAAATGCAACCTTGCGCTCGTCTAATTTATTTCTTGGGGCTGGTGACACTTTGAACTGCTTAGGTCACGAAGTGATACTACACTTTATTGCTCGAATTTCTCACGTATCGCTCTCTCTATCTCTCACTCTCGCACCTCCCTCTTTCGATCTCCCACTCTCTGTCAGTCTCTCTCTCTAGCTCTCTTTCTCTATTTCCCTCTTTGTCGCACTCACTCGCCCTCTCTCTATTTTTCTCGCACTTTCTCTCGCTCTCTCATTCTCGCACTTTCTCTCTCCCTCTCTCTCTCTCTCTCTCTCTCTCTCTCATTCTCTCTCTCTCTCTCTCTGTCTGTCTCCGCATGCTATTTGATCTCAACTCAGGCTACCCCAAAAATTTGAAGCGTTCCCTTCGAGTAGTGCGCCCCTTAAAACGCGTCCCGTCATCCCTGAAATTGGGCTTTTCATTCTTGAGCATTGCTCGCCCCTCGGGGCGCACTTTCAACGGATTAAAATTTGGGCGTCGTCAGGTGGTGACGCCTAACTAAAGACATCACGGTTTTTGTGGGGTTGTAAATGACAGTAGTGGCATTCTCTTGTCATTTAGTTGGATTTGGGCTTACAAAAGCTTCGCCGACGCCTTCATTGAGGCTCTAGGTACACGGTATCCATTCGGTTTAAAAAAATATGTTGTATAAGCTTTTCGATAGTTTTATGGAAAGAGAGAGAGAGAGAGGGAGAGGGAGAGGGAGAGGGAGAAGTCCTCTACTTTTTGCTGCTTTTTGGACCAATGAACAAAATCTGCTGAATTCCATGACGTGTACGTTCTTGCAGCCAGGCGTTGCGCCCTTTTCGAACTACCCATTTCACGAATTTCATGGCTCTGGTTTGCTAGCGCTTCCCCTAGTCTAGACAAAACGTGAAAACGACTAGTTGCGGAATTTGTTCGTTTTTGTCTAAAGCGTTTCCAGGTCAGAAAGCGTTTAATACGCTTCAAAGCTCTAGCCTTCGCTTAAATGATATTTTGATTTGATACTTTAGCGCTGTCGAAAGCTCAAAGGTACCTGAAATAGCTCAGAAACATACCGTCATTGAGCTCATGTTGACGATGATGCCTTGATCTTTCTTGACCATTCCTGGGAGCACAAGCTCGTTCATCTGTAAGTTGAAGGGTCATGTAAAATGTTAAACGTGAATTCCCATTTTTCTTGTAGTTTGTGGTCATGTTAAATTTACAGCCAAGAAAGTATCTTCAGTAAAGCTATACCCGAATGCAGCTCATCAAGTTGACGCGCATGATTTTCGAAGCCATCCCCTCTTCCTGCTCGATCAGGTTTCCGATGGTGTTCGGAGCAAGACCGGCGAAGTTTACTAAAAATAGTCAGTTTAGGAATTGTTTTATAAATATCACGATGACCGGGGTTTTATTTTAAGTTCTTACTTTTTATTTCTATCTGTAATATTTTTTACCCAGCATTGCGATTTTTGTTCTTCGTTATTAACTTCTATTTTTAGGCGCCATTCCCTGGAAATCTCATAGAAACATCAATTTTATTGGCGATGTAATATTTCCCTCTTTGGGTATTTCCAGAAAGTCTTAAAAGAGAAAATCACGGAAATGACGGTATTTCCACTACAGTACGTCCAAAATAGTACGGTTGCTTCCAGCCTTCCGCAAGCCTCATTTTTTGCAAAATTCCCCTGCAAAAATCCGTCAAAATATTTTTGAAATCCGGCTCCCATCCGGGACCCGCCTACTAAATATTTGCTCGCTAGTAATAATGCTATCTCTCTCGCGGTCTCTCTCTCTCTCTCTCTCTCTCTCTCTCTCTCTCTCTCTCTCGCTCTCTCTCTCTCTCATCCCTCGAGGCTAAAAAGATTCCGTTCCCCCCGACACCCCACAGATCCGTATGCAGAGATCTAATTCTGCGGCCCCATTTTCGGGTCCCTGTACTACGGGCTACACTAATGACGTAAATATTTGGCACACGTGCTCCCGCTGAAATTCTATCAAAATTAGGGCTAGTCTGGGTGGGTATATAGGGAACTCTGGCGGTGTAGGTGTGTGGAAGTGTTGGCAGGGAAACACCCTGGGTTTCGCAAGGTATAGAAACTTCTGGGTGGGATTAGGTGGTGTAGTTAGCATTTTGATTTCAACCCTGTCCCGACCTGGTAGCTCTCGTAACCTCAAGTTATTTAAGCTTCAGGTTACGGTAGCTACCGGCAGACTTATGTTTTCCTAAGTTGTATTTTTCTTAAGTTATTTACTTGTACTCTTACTGCTTCATTTCTTGAGGTATCAAAATGGAATATTATCGCAGTACCTTCCTCTCACTTTTTCAGTTATCCTAAGGCATTTAGGGCATCGTATCTATCTATTTTACCTTTTTAAGCTATAACAAATTTAACAACAAGCTCTGTCGCCTAGGCTGTTTTCGTTGTTTTTAGCCGCAACCGCTATACTCCACACCTTTATGGACGAGGAAAAAGATAACATGAACTGATGCTATGTGCAGTATTGTACTTGAGAAGAACAGCGCCTTGGCTTCCCTGAATCTAATTTTGGTTTTTTTTGGGGAAGAGGGGGGGGGGGGGAAAAAAAAAAAAAAAAAAGGCGGAAAATCCAACCCCCCCCCGAAAATTAAGATATTTTTGAACGGCAGCATCACAATTAAGACAAGCCACGTTTAGTTAAATGCCAACAATGATGCTCGCTTACAAAATAATCAAAAAGTTGTACAAATTCGCCCTTGTGATTATAGATTTCATAACCCCAGATCTAAATAACCATTGCGTTATTTGAAGAAATTTTTTTGATGATTTTCATCCTGCGTTACTATTTCACTAGACCGCAATAATTTTCGCGGGCTCATGATTACTCAGGGCCGCTATATATAATTTATTTCTGGATTCAGTTCCAATTAAAATTTGCCAAATTACTTGCGGGAACGCCAGATGAATAGGCAACACCCGTCACTTTCTCAGTGTTCGTTTTTGCTTTCCTTCCTCTATTTTTGTACTTTTTTTTCTTGATTTTGATCGTATGCCAGCAATATGTCATCTGTTATCTATTAATAAAAATACGATTTTAAGGTAATTGCGCTACATTTAAAGTCTCGAATTACATAGAATATCCGTCTAGCTTTTGGGTTAATTTCATTCATTTGTACTTTTTCGATATCTCAATACTTTTTGGCCTTTCCTATCGCGTTAACATCAGTTTTTACGGCAATTTCGATACCTTCAAAACCTCAACTTACACAAAATCCCAACGTCCAGCTCCTTGATCTCCTTCTCCAACGTGGGCCAATCTCCATTATCAAAATCAAAGACATGCGTCTTCACCTCGGCGCCGTGGCTCTTTTCTGCAAAAAACGCGAGACGTAAATTGCACATTTGAATAATGTTGGGTCATTTGCCAAGGAGGGGAGCACGGGAGTGATGACGCGATTTCACGTCCCGTTTTTCCCGGAATAACCTCACGACTACTAGCTACTAGCCACGACCAAGATCTCGTACACATTTGCATCAAGTAGTGTTTTGACGGGTCGTAAGGATCGGCTATTTTCGATGAGACACGTGAGGCTTAATTCAATTCAGGGAGCGGCTAACTATGTGTTTGGGTATAAGAGATGTTATTAGGAATTTTTCGTACTTCTGGACCGGTTTAAGGGGCCAGAAAGCTTAAAGGTAGCTTCTTGATGGCTGATTTTTGAGGACTTGGATCTAGGATCGCTAACCTCGCTTTGATTGAATTTTTTCGGAATTTTTCATGTCTCACCCTCCCTCCCGCTCTCTCTCTCCCTCTCTCCCTCTATCTTTCTCTATTTTTTGCAAGCTAGGCCTTTAGGAAGCCAGCATTGACTCTTCAGAATTTTTTCAAACTTAAGCCAAACATCTCCAGCTCAATTTTCTCGTTTTCTGAGCAAAAACATCAGCCAATGCCAACACTCATTTAGATTTCTAGCCATTCTCAGAAGAACAACTAAACTATTCAAGCAGTGCACTCAACTACTCCCACCCCCACCTCAACCAGACTTTGTTTTTGAATCCGAAACCAGGAGATAATGGGCCGTTCCTAGGAATTTTCAGATTTTTAAGAAAAATTGAGGTTTTGCCGTCTCTCTCTCTTTTTCTTTCTCTCTGTCTCTCTCCCCCTCTCTCACTCTCTTCTTCTCTCCCTTCCTCTCTCTCTCTCGCTTCTGAAACCTACTCAAAGCTCCGGCGACCACAGCCAACTTGTCGGCGCTTCTCCCGATCAAGTAGAATTTTTTAAGGCCTCGTGCCCGGGCCAGCTCTAGTGTGTAGGCTTTTCCGATGCCGTCCGTCCCGCCGGTCACCACTGAAATTTGAGAATTACTTGGGAATGGGGTGTACTTTGATAAATTGCTCGAAACTTCCCCTTCCGATCGGTTCTTTGAACATTTCGAGAAGCTCTAGCTCTAGCTCTGGTTGCCTCTCACTATCTCTCTCTCTCTCTCAATCTGCCTCGCCTAATTTCACGTCTACAAGGAATGTAAAGCATAACCCAAAAAATGCAACGTAAGTGCGGCTGTTCTTGGAACTCCGACTACATTAAGATTCCGCTAATTCTTCTACTTTGTAAGACTGCAAACTACAAATCTGAAAGCAAAATCTGTTGCTCGAAAAGCGAGTTGTACCGCTATTGAATTAGAGGAATACCTGGATTTGTCTAACCCAAACTTTCACCTTACTAATGTTGCTTTGCTGGAATTTTTAATGTTTTTTTGAGAGGTTTTGCAGCCGACTGTAGTATGTTATAACTTTTTTTGCTTTTTTCTCAACCATTACTGCTTACGTAATCCAACCCATTCCACAACGTTGTTTTCTGGGGTTTACATGTTCCTTATTCCAATTTTGAAGAGATTCCAGAAGATCCGAGGGTTGTAATGGGCCTTTCCCACATTCAGACCCACCCACGGGTCCGTCTGAAGGGGTGTCTGCTAACTAATGGATGCCGTTCGGGCCTGAACATAATGGACATGATGTGCTGAGTTTCAAAAATTCTGTTCTGTTCTACTCGCATATTTCGTTAGGTTTTTGGACAGCTTTTTCGCGTTTTTCGAGCTTTTTTAAACCCCCTTTTTGAGGGGGGGGCGTTTTTTTTTTATAAATAAACCAATTTACGTAGGGGAGGGGCGCGCGTTCCTTCCTTTCTTTGTGGGGGGAATTTTTTTTTTTTCTGGTGGGGGGGCCGGGCCCCCTTTCGCGGTGGTGGGGGGGGGGTGGTTGGATATCGTTCTCTTTCTCCCGCGGGGGGGGGGGGGGGGGCCCGGGCCGCGGCAAATAGAATATTTTTATATTATACACAAAGAAGCCCGCCCCCTTTAAGCAGATTTCAAGAGCTTTAAATGTAAAGTTTAACCAGCTGAATTAACACTTAAAAAGCGTGAAATTTATCATAACAGTATGGTCATTATGAAAAGTTTATGAAATGTAAATTGTTTCAAAATTTTGAATAATCTAACAAAATCCTAGCCCTAAAGCACATTTCCCACTTTTTTGCTCAGGTGTCTTTTAACCCACCAGTCCATTTGTCCTTGAACTGGGTGACGTCCATTGGCGGCATTATCCCGTGGACGAACACCGATTTACTGATGATGAACAGGAATTTGGAGAAGCGCACGGTCACGTAGGCCGTCACGTAGTACCAGAATATCCGCGATTGCGTGAACCACCCGAACAGGGCCTAAAAAGGGATTTGGAGATTTGCATATTTAATGCCATAATTATCGTTCCATTTTTGGAATTTTTTTACAACACTACTACTATACGGTTCCTTTTATGGAACAAGGATTTCCCCTCTTACCTCGCGCGTCTGGAGCAATTATCCCGGTGGGCACCCCACTCTCTCGCCCCGCTCTCGTCGTCGCCCCCTCCGGCCCTTTCCCAATCTCTAACCACGCCTAAACCTCTTCATTTTCCCAATCTCTCGCCCCTTTTCGTCGTCGCCCCCCCTCACCCCTTCCCCAATATCTCACCGCCCTTTTCGTCGCTACCCTCCACATTTTTCTCAATATCTCATCGGAAAGAAACACAACCCTCTAGTGGCATTTCCCCGCCGCCTTGCCCCTAATATCTTGGGCAAAGGTACAGTATTGGCGACTCGTGGGGCAAAAAACACACAACCACTATTCAACATATAAATCTTGATATGTATTTTCTAGAGTTTAAAAAAGACTTTCACCCTCTCTCCACAACCTCTTGCAACCCCAAAATTTTCATGTTGAAAAAAAAGTCAATGTTGGGGACAGTTCATGTGTTGTCAAAAAGTTTCGACAAAATTTTATTAGATTGAAAAAGAAAAATGCAAAATATAGGATTTGGAAATACAGAGGGAGAGCCAAATTGAAAATATTGACACCAATGTTGCACAAAGATGTTGACTTTTAGAAAATTGGATACCTCAGATAGACAGAGTGGTTCTAAAATAATATTTAAAAGTCACCTTTTAAGACTTACCAAATAAAATAGAGAAACATTGTAGAAAAAAAATATGATCATTTTACTGGCCACAATTCTCAAACTGAGAGACAATGTCTCGATGTAGATACTCTTGCTAAAGCTCATTTTTTTATTTTTTAGGATATTACTTACGAACAACTCTCTCGAAATAAAAAGACCACGTCGGGACAAGAAACGCTCCATACCAGAATGTGCACGAGTAGGACTAAATTTATGTTGAATAAAAAAGTTTTAGAAAAAACTTACGTTGAGCACAAGGATGTGACGGCAGTACGCATATTATGACATGGCTCGACAATGGCACTAGGAGTAATCCGCCAGATCACATGGATGACATTAGGATTAATATACCCGTCCCGATCAATTCCAAATACGAGTGGTATCATGTTCATAACATAATGGATAGGGTTGTTGTCAGAAATGATTCTGATTTTGAAAACCAAGCTGTTTTCAACCAACGCAGTGAGTTCGTCAGAATAAATAATTGGATAGGCTAAGGTTTCGGCAAAAGACCGAAGCAAAAACAAACCACTGGTTTGACATTGTTCACGAAATAAAGCATCAACGGTAGTGATAGGTACGAAGTCGTAAAAATGGCCAAGAATAGACTGATCAAAACCTGGTGGAGGTGACATGGCAAGAATCCAAATTGGAAGAGAATATTTTTTGACTCTTTCCCCCGGTCTTTTTTTCCCTTGACCCGAGCCGGATCGACAGGTACTAGATGGTAAGAGCATGCATGAATGGACTTTGGAGAATAGATAATTACTACGGGGACACGAGCCTCTCTGAGGGGCAAAGATAATTGCCCTGGCACAGTACAGTACCGATGACCTGGGTGAATGGCAACATGGCAGAAGGGTCAAAAATTCTCATGTTTCGCCGACCTCCACTAAAAGAAGTCTTGGCGCTTACTTACAATTCTCCTAATGGCAATGCCAATTCCGTTTATACAGGCCGTCTCGAGGCTTTTCTTTTTCGTCACATTGAAGCTGGTGAAATATTACAAGAAGCCATCGATTTTTTATCCAGCCACTTTTCGGGCAGCATTTTTGCAGTTGCCCTAAATAATCAGATAATTTTGGACTTTAGTCTGCGCAAATATCAAACAGGCCGACGATTGTTGAATAGTCTTCCTCCCAACTATATAATTAATGATGAGACAACGATTCATATAATTTTACCGACGTTTGTGTGCGACCCCAAGCCTATATGGTCATTTCAAGTTGATGGTTTCCAAAATTTGAACTATTAATCGATAATTATGTCTCAAATTTTTGGTACATTTTCGAAACTCTGCTGACGTAATACATGGGCAATTTTGCTTACGCGATTTTGGAATGCTTACGCGATTTTTGGAATGCGAAAAGTTTCGGAAAAATGTGCTTACGCGATTTTTTGTGCCAGAAATGGTGACTCACGCAAAATGTGCTGACGAGATTTTATTCAAAAGAGAAAAAACGCAGAGTTTCGAAAGTGAACAAATGTCATGTCGAATATGATTGAAAAGGAAAAAAAGCATTTTTAGAAAAAATGACAATTTTGGAGAGCCCTGTCACTGAAACGATGATCAGAACGACACAAGTTGATGGGACAATTCTTCTCACGTATAGAGGAAAAATGAATTTTGAGCCATACCTTGATGTCCCTTTTAGTAATTTTATACAAGGATGTATCTTTTGGATCCTAAATCATGTTTCACAAACCCAAAATATCCCATTGAGAGAAATTGTATTTGGTCTAGCCATAGTGAAAGTTGACAATGTTCCCATTGTACGTAGAGGATATGGCAATTACATGACTCATACGGGTAGCCGAGTAGCAAACGAATTAATTCAACAAGGTCCTCTCGATTCTAGTTATTTTCTGGATATACATTTATCTCCCTACCACAATAATTGATTTTACAGATGGATGTTGTTCTCAATCCTGAAAATTTGTATTTGAAAAACAAAACTGGATTTGAATGGAACCGTGCCGTGTCGGGACACGTCAATTTCGAAAAATATAGAAAGAAGAAATCGAGTCCACAAGAATTAATTCGAAAAGCAATAGACCTTCTAGTCGATATGTTGAGCCTAAAAACCAACAAATTTGTTTCATGTTTTGAAGTAATAATGGCTCACCCACATTTAGATGAAAATGGAATTGAAAGTCTCAGGATTGAGACAACATTTTTTGCAAATGATACTGTGGCCCGATTATTTGAAAATCTATTATGTAATGATGTGGAACAACTGTTCAACAATGATATGAAAATTACTGTAGTATACATTCCACAGTAATTGAATTTTTGGTTCATATATTTGATACCATTAAAATCCCGTTTTCCAAAGTTTTTCGATTATTTTGCCACCGACCTCAGCTTGTGTATGAATAAAACCGTTTTTCAGATTCTACATCTCGTTCTATGCCTCTCTTAGCTTAACACTCTTGAATACTATGGATTTTTTTTGGGTTCCCAGATCTAGTGCAACGTCAGATTGTGCAAGAAATTGCAAAAACAGGACCCAAAAATACTTTTCGCTTGGCGTCATGTTCAAAAAGGGCCTGGAATCTAGTTGCGTCTACGCGGAACCCAAAATTAGAATATGAAGTGACCATATTTTTTGATCAAATTCGACTCAGAATCAATTCCACGGCTACCTATTGGATTCGCAATCGAAAGACGATAAAATTGTTAGTGGGATCTGCAAAGAACACAACAGTTAGAATTTTTACTCTAAGACAAAATAAAATTGAAGGAATTAAAGCGGAAACGCTATATGTTTACCGAATCAATACGGCCAACATTTTGGAACTATTAGAGCATTATAAAAGTCAGTCTTGTTACAAGAAGGTCCAACTTTACAATCCGGTCCCAACACCTGAGCTTTTGAATTATTTAAACGAAAATGTCATAATGTTGAAAATTGGTCGACCAAATCAAATATTTGACTGGAAAAACTGTAACCATAATTGGGTAACATGGACCTTATCACCTAGATGGGAAAGTTTGGCCAACGATTTTGTACAGTTTATGAGAACAAAATGGGAAAAAGAAAAAGTAGAAGGTGGATCATTTTTTGGAGCAGTAAGAAAGTTAAACTTTAGAGGGGAATATTTAGAAATTGTAATCATGACTAATCCCGATCCTTCCCTAACTCTGATTCGACATCAGTTCTGATCCTTATCAAATTCGACTCCTTTATGGGTATCCTACAAAAAATGTCGGACGACAATGCAAAGAAAACATCCCCAGAAAAAATTCGCCTATGGACGGTATAAAGACGAAAAAACACACAAGTCTTTTTTTTTGTTTAGCTTGGACGTCCACCATCCCCAGAACCAGGCACACCAGAATGGGAAATGATCCAGCATCTAATCAGTTTTGGTTGGCCAGGAGAAGATAGTGATTCGGGAGAAGAACGGGAATTTGAGGTTGAAATTTGAATATTCTCTTCAATCATTATTTTAGTTGAGGGTCAAACGACCAAAGAAAAAGCGAGCAAAAGATGTCAAAAACGACGATATCACTCCTTCAACCTCCAAAAAATGCCCCAAAAAGACTAAAACCGGCCCTTCAACCTCCAAAAAGACTAATAGCTGCCCTTCAACCTCGAAAAGTTGCCCGGAAAAGACTAATACCGACCCTTCAACCTCAAAAAATTGTCCCAAAAAAGAATAATCCCGTCCCTTTAGTCACCAATAATGCTGTTTGTCTCTCGTTCCATTTGTTCTGAAATGTAATTTTTCGTGTATTGGAAAAATGTGAAATAAATACAAATTTTCAGATGCCGGATCTACCCACCGAAGTGTGGCTCATGGTTTTGAAGGCTTTGCCTTTTGAAGATTTCAAATCGCGACACCGACTGGCGCGCGCAGCCAAAGGGATATGGGAAGCGGCGCCAAATATCATCTACAAAAATAAAGTCCCCGGAAGGTTAATATTTTATCAAGAAGGTCAACAAGAAATTTTCGAATATGAAGACGACGAGAATCGTATAAAAACGACAAATGTAAATACGATCAAAATTTTATTCAATGGAAGTTGTATGAACGAAGTTTTGGTGGTCAAAGAGACCAAATATGTAGGCATTCAAAGTTTTTGGATGCGAATTCATGACGGAAATCAAGAGACAATGCTCCCTCTACTTGAGGCCTTTAAGCCGGAAGGATCCCCTTTTGAAGATGTCACTTTTGTGAGAGAAACAGATATTTCTCAACAAGTCGCCGAATATTTGGAAACCAACTCGAACCAAGTCACCTTCTCAGAAATCAAAAATGAAAATAAATGGCTCAACAGCAAATTCAAAGTACTCAAAATGAATCTATCTTCGGATTTTGAAGGAGAAGACCAAGATGAAGAGGGACGACGAGAACGATTTTATTTTGGAGAGGATAGACGTGTGCAACGATTTGTCGAGAGGAAAAAAGCCATTTGGGAAGCGGAAAAGAAGACGGAAAAGCCAAACATTGCAATTATTGACAAGAGCAATAGAATTAGCAATCACTTGTTGTATTTAGAAGACAAATCCGCGGTCTTTTACGGTCATTATGGCCAAGGAGGATATTTGTGCATTTGCACATCAATGCGAGAACTACCAAATCATTATGTCGTTCAATGTTTGCAAGAGGCCCTCGTTTGGGGAATCTAAACTTTCGATTGACACCGCCCCACTTTTGACTAGTAGCAATTTTCGTATTTTTTCGAACATTTTCCCCAGACTTGCATTCTCTCGCAACAACTCGTTCATTTCGTGTCCTCGCCGTATCTTTTTTTTTTTTGTAAAAATAATAAATCTTTAGATGAGCGACATGCCCAATGATGATGATGAAATGGCGGTGCAGCAGGAAGCTAGAGGGCACGTTTTGGATATTATAACGGAGAAGGGCTTATCATCAATTGTAGTGACCGGAAAAATTAATTTTGAAGATTACCTGGTACAAATCAATGCCCTCCATGATCGTTGTAATTTTTGGAAAGTTCGGCTAGAAATAAATGGACAGGCACTTTTGGAACTAGTGCAAGTTTTGCAAAAAGCTTTGCCAGCGGATCAAGTTAATGCCCCTTTTCAAGTTTCTCTTTTTCATATTTCCTTTTTTCGAAAGCATATTCCCCACGTGGCGGTGCAAAATGTTACTAGCGAGAACCTAAAAACTGGTCAATTGCTAAAAAATTTTCGTCAAGTTTTGGAAAGGAACAAAATGTTAAATACAAAAGATTTGCGAATGTTTTATAAAAACAAAATTTCCCTTCGTGTCCTTTGTAAAGTCGATTTATGGTTTGATTAATAAATTATAGGATGGATGAACCCCAGGAAAAACGACGCCGACTCGTCGACTACTCGCCGTCCCCACCACCAGGCCCCAGTTGGTATGTTACCCCTAGGGCTAAAGGGCCACCAAAAAATGTTGTAGTAAAATTTGAGTGTTCCCCACTAAAATGGGTAAAACACAAGACTTTAAACGCCTACACGTATGAAAGTGAGGTGAAATTTTTAAATCTAGAAGGGGCCATAGAATTAGGACTTTTTGAAAAGGCTGTACAAACAGCTATAGATCAAATTTTGAAAAATTTTTGTGATAAAGAAGGGGTAGATAAGGATTCTTTAAGATTTTCTATAACTCTAGTACACAAATCGATGGCAAAAGGGGGCAAGGAAGGTATTTATTTGCCACTAAGGACCCGTCGGATGAATAATAGTAATGCTTTACTAGAAATATTTGAAAAAATGGTCCAGAGCAATGAAAATTACACATTGGACGAAAATTTGAGGCTCACTGTCAACATTAAGGCTCCAATGGCCGGTGGAGCAAGAAGAAATAAATCTTGCACTCGTTTTTCTGAGCCCCCGGTACCCGATAATTTGTGCCTTTTGAGGGCTTTGGTAAGGGCTAGAGCAAATGCATTGCTAGAACAAATTTATGAAAAACAAGGTTCATGCCACGGGTCTGTATACAAGACTATTAAAAAGGAATTTGAAAAGCTTTGTACCGACTACAAGTTTGCCAACGAAACCGCTCTACGTTTATGGCAAAATGTCCTAGAAATTAAAGCTGACCAAGCTCCCCTAATGTCTTTGGAACACGTTAAAAAAATTCAAAAACATTTAGAATTTCGAATTGCCATTTACGACAATGTAGGCAAGTTGCTTTATACACCTTTTGAAGGCGAGGGCCCAATTTTGAAAATTCTATTTTCCGAAAATCATTACGAGTTTTTCATGGTCCCCAGCGCAATTTTTGATGGTAAGGGTAGGCCTCTACTGAGATTTGCGTGCCCACGATGCGCGGTTCTTACGCACACAAAAACCCACCACATCCCTCAATGTAGGCGCGCCTGCCGATTTTGCAAGGTGGCAGATTCAACTTGCCCCATGATTATGGCCGAGCGAATTTCTTGTTTGAAATGTAAGCGCACTTTTCCCAATGCCAAATGCTTTGAAAAGCACTTTTTTGGAAAAAAGATTTGCCCCGAAACGGTCTACAAATGCCTAGACTGCGATCAAGAGATGCTAAAACGTCAGCAACCCCCAGCAAAGCACATTTGCACGACATTTTGTCAAAAATGTCAAGACTGGCGAGATTTGGAACATGTCTGTGGCTGGGAGGAAATTAGTGCTAGGACCAAAAAGTCGATTGCCGACAATTCGCAAGTTTTTTGGCATTTGTACTATGATTTTGAAACGCTGGCCAACAATGTAAATGTAGACGGGGAATTGGAGTGGCTTCCCACCCAAAAAGTGCAACAAGTCTCTGTCGCACAAGCCTGTCACCAGTGTGCGGACAAGGCCTTTTTGCCAAAGTCTGCCCCGCTAGCCAACTGGAAAGGGCAGGGCAATTGCCCAAATTGCGAGCTGCAGGGCGTCGGGCTTTGGAAGAGAGAGCCAGAGGATACGGCAGACGAGGTGCTAGATCGATGGCTCGACTGGCTCTTGTACAATAAAAAATTGGACGGGTATACCTGTTTTGCTCACAATGCCGGTCGTTTTGATGGACATTTTATCCTGGCAAAGCTACTAAAGCGCGGAATTGTCCCAAAAATTGTCTTTAACGGGCAAAACATTTTGCGCATGGAAATTACGACTCCTAGACAAAAGGCCATCAAGGAGTTTAAAAAGGCAAAAAATGCAAAACAATCTGAATGGTCTGCAGAAAATACACCCTCCCTTCGTGAAACGTCGATAAATCGGCTAGTCTTTTTGGATTCTTGTAACTTTATCCCAATTCGACTAAAGCAATTTGCAAAGACTTTTGGTCTAGCCGATAAAAAGGGTTTTTGTGCCCTATTTGCAGGTCCTGAGCAGCAGCGTTCCACAGAATGGCTGATTCCAAAGTATTTTGGCGCAGATCACATGACGCTAGAGGACAGGCAAGAATTGGAGGCCTTTTTGCAGCAAAAGCACGGAACGCCCTATAATCATGAGGCCGAAATGGACGAGTATTCAAAGATGGATACCCAAGTTTTGATGGGCGGGGTCCTAAAATATCGAGCCTTTTTTGTAGATTGTTTCACATTTGACCCCTTTTTACTAGATAGCACCTTGCCCGGGGTTAGCCTAAGGTGTTTTAGACTCCATTTTCTCAAATATGAAATTGCCCACATTCCCGAGGCTGGGATTAACAATGTCAAGAATAGCAAAATTGCTGCCAAATAGTTGGCTTGGCTAGAAAAGCAACTCGAGGTCCCAATTCAGAGGGCCACTTTTGGGGGTGAGCACAAGGTGACTACAAAGTACGGGTCTAGATATCATTTGGATGGGTACTATGAGTTGAACGGGCAAAAGCACGGTGTTGAAGTACTGGGTTGTTTTTACCACGGGTGTCCAAATTGCATACAGGATCCCGAAGCGATTAGTCCGCTCACTGGGAAACCGTATCATTGGCTTTACGCCAATACAATCGCTCGGCGCGACGAGCTTGAAGAGGAAGGCTACCAAATGGAACACATTTGGGAATGTGAAATTGAAAAACTACGCAAAACTAATGCACAAGCGCATCAGTTTATGAAAGGCGTTTTCTTTGCAGGTAATCTAATTCCCCGGGATGCTTTTAGAGGTGGAAGAACAGCCGTCTACAACATGTTTTTGCACCCAAAAGAGGGAGAGCAAATCAAATATGTAGACAAGGTCAGTCTCTATGGAGCGTGCTGTGCCTTTGAAAGTTTTCCAATTGGCCACCCGACAGTGCATTTTCCCACGGACCTTGACCTTGCGTCAGACTGCAAATTACGGCATCGGGGATTTTACTTGTGCGAGATTTTGCCGCCTCAGCACTTGAAATTGGCCGTGCTGCCAATCACCTACAAGCAAAAAACGTATTATCCTCTGTGTTACACTTGTGTAACCGAAAGAGGACGGGACGGTCAGAATATTGGCTACAAAGCATGCCAACATGTTCCTGAAAAACGTCGCCTTGTGGGCACATGGACTAGCGCTGAGATTGAGCTAGCCCTAGAGCACGGTTACAAGTTGCTAAAGGTGCACGAAGTCTATCATTGGGAAAAATGGACGCCCGGGGACCCAGAATGGAAAAAGATTCCCGATGGAGGGCTCTTTTCCGACTATATTCGACAGTTTTTGAAAATGAAACAAGAAAATACCGGCTATCCGGCCAGTGTCAATACGGACGAGGCCAAGCTCGCATATCGTCAAGAATTTGAAGCAATGAATGGCATTGGACTTGATCATGAAGCACTTGAGAAGCCGACACCTGGCCTAAAATTTATAGGTAAGAAAAACGTGTAAAATTTTGACCTGCTTTAGGAAAATCCTTTATTGTGTCGCTATGGGGGCGACTGGGATTGAATCCGCACCAGGTCACCAGTGAATTTGTCAAAACTGAGATGGCCGTCGAGAAGATTCTAAATGATCCAACTATTGAAATTGTGTATGATCGAATCTATGAGCCAGGAATTTGGCTTTTTTCGCACAAAAAGAAGAAACAGCTGGTTCACAGCTCAAATTTTGGATCTTTGGCAATCTCTGCCCACGTGGTGGCCTATGGGAGAATTGCAATGCACAAAGTCATGAGTGAGCTCGACTATGAATCTATAGGCTATCAAGACACTGGTACTTTTTGGTTTGCTCTTTACCTTCTTTTTTAGATAGTCTACATTATGTGCACAAAAATGACGAAAAGAGTCGCCAATGGGCCGCCAAGTACTGTGGAGAAAACTTGGGCCAACTCAAAGATGAAGTCCCGCCCGACTACAAAGTCACCCGATGGGTAGGGTGCGGGCCAAAACAATGGGCCATGGAAATGTGCAAGTTTGGTCCCGACGGTGAGACGGTGGATGTCAAAACCCTTGTTCGAATACGAGGCATTACTCAAAATGTTTCAAATTATCACTTGGCGTCCGTGTCAAATTTGGAAAAACAGGCCAAAGAATTGGCAAATTCTCAAGAATCCGATCCCCTAACCTTTTCTCGTCCTCAAATTACAAAACGCTTTGGTCATATCGGGGGCAAAATTCAATCAAAACAATATTTGGCTCGATTGACGTCAGGACAAATATTGCCGGGAGGGATGGTTCTCCCCTTTGGCTATATTTTTCCAGCGTGAATCACCCCCCACCCCCAGCACTCCTCAAGAAATTTTTGTATTCATTTTCTATGCCTCCTCATTTTGAAATTCATGGAAATGCTGGTTATTTGTGGACCACAAAAGATTTTTGCGCTGTACCCTGCCTTTCGCCAAAGTTTTGCATTGGCCTAGTCGGGTTGGTCTTGCGCATTTTTGCCCTCAACGTGGCCTAGATATGATGAGCCAACATTTTGTGTGTGCAAAGACTGGCTCGACTCCCGCTCGACAACTTGCAATGGCGAAAGCAACTGGTGGCTCTACATGATTATGGCTTGGCTAATGTTCATTATTGCAATGATGTGTGCACACAAATGTAAGAAAATTTATTCGATTGCCAATAAAGGGGGTCCGTGCCCGAGTCGGCGGCCGCGTCTTTTTTCGATTAGTAGGTTGATGAGGTACAGTAGGAAGAGGAGGCCAAAGACGAGGGCGATGAGCATGAGCAGGACTCCGAAAGAGGTCGTCTTGACAGTTAGGGATGATGCGTCAACTTCAATCTTGGCAATGTGCTCTAAATTTAGACTGTTCTCGTCGCCGGGTCAACAACCGACCCATACAATGCGGGATGCCCTTGTCGTCAATTTCACATTCTGGCGATCGGCACCTTGTCCAGCAGCGCTAATAGTTTGTATTTGAATAAAACACAACTTGTGCATACAAGGTCACCAGACACGAAAGAAATCAAGAAGAAGAGCAGCCACATTTTGGGGGTAGAGTAGAAAAATGCTATGCAAAAGCTACAAAAGGAAAAACTTGAGCATTTCCGCTTACAATATGGCATTCACCTTTTTGCATCCTTGTTCTATTCAAATTTATGCTCCCAGTTTGGGAGGAAAAACTACTTGGACTCTAAAATGTTTGAAAAATTTTGAGACACTCTTTTCAAATTCTGAGCAAATTCACAATATTTATTATTTTACGGGTACTAATCCTGACAGTCTAAAGGCAGCAGATGTTAAAAATTTGCAAATTTTTCAAGGCGCGCCCACAGAAGACCAAATTGAACGGCTTGAAAATTGCATTATAGTCCTTGATGATCTTTTGGGTGTTATGAACGACGAGCTTTTGGCCCAATTGACAACAAAAGTGACGCATCATCAGAATGTTACGCTGCTAAATTTGTCGCAAAATGCCTTTTCTGGAAAACGTACTGCGCGTATCAATTCGAATTATATTGTTTTGCTAAGGACAATTTCTGATCAATTGCAAGCCAGAAACATTGGTAGTCAGTGTTTTGGGAATAAATTACGGTATTTTTTGGATAGCTGGGAAGACGCTACAAAAAACAAACCTTGGTCCTATCTGGTTATTGTTAATCATCCGGGTTTACTGGACACGACAAAACGGCTAGTGACAGGCATCTTTGGCGAGCTCGATCCGCATAAAAGGCCAATTTATTACGTTCCCGCATAACATGGTTCCCATTAGTCTGCAATTGCAGAACCTTTTTTTGAAAAAACTTGCTACTAAAAATAATCTTGTTCCCATTTTGAAACGAGCCTCTGACGAGCAAATTCGAATTTTGATTGAGCTTATTGCCAACATTTTGACTGGGCGCATTCCCCTTTTTGCCTACGAAGCAAAACGTCTAAAACGCTCGTTGGCAATTTTACGTGATTTGGCCATTATTCGAAATTTTGATCACGCTCGTGCCGCACTAATACAGAATTCTCTAGTTTTGAAGGCTTTGGTTAAGCCATCCATAGCCTTTATTAATGCCAAAAACTTTTCGAAAAATGGTCTTTGATGCCCAGACTGGGGAAGGTTTTACCCATACATTGCGTGAGCAAACTGCAACAAATGCTCTAGAGACTGAGAAATCTATGCAAAACGTTTTGAATAGCGCTCTGCCAAACGATCTAAAGATGGAACTTTATTCTACATTACTACGTGCTCTAACTAGTTGGGTCGGGGAACTAAAGAAGCTTGATCCTCAAAAATTGTCCGCAAAGCCAATTTTGGACGACGCGCCAAAACTTGCTAAAGCCGTGGGTAGAAAAGCAGCATCTAGAAAAGCCTTGGCAGCATCTAGAAAAGCCCTGGTGACGCCTACGGAGGCCTTGGCGACGCCTACGGAGGCCTTGGCGACGCCTACGGAAGCCTTGGCGACGCCTGCGCGTGGCTCGGCGACGCCTACGGAAGCCTTGGCGACGCCTACGGAAGCCTTGGCGACGCCTACGCGTGGCTCTGTGAAACCTAAAACCCCGTATAAAGCGCGACTTCGTAAAAATCCAAAGCGTACATCGCATTTTGGCCATGGTCGTTCGGGGCGTTTCCGAATCACGTTCTATAGCTAAACTTGACAAGATTTGGACAAATCTCGGTTCCCCTGTTGCTTTTACTTCTCGTGCCAATTTGATTAATGAAGCCAAAAAGCTAAAAATTTCGAAAGCTGTTGTAGACAAGTATCTTCAGACTAAAAATTCCTACTTTTTGCATCGTCGTGCTAGACACAAATTTCCCACAAAAAAGGTAACGAGAACCAGTATGCACGCCTGTCATTTTGCAGATTTGGCCGATATGCAAAAACTGAAAGCATATAATCAGGGCTATCGCTATATTTTGGTAGTCGTTGATGTCTTTTCTCGACAGACTTTTGCTAGACCTCTGTTATCAAAAAGACCCGAAGAGGTTGTCGAACAGTTGAAAGATATTTACAAAGAAATTGGGACTGAACCTTACTATCTAACTACTGACTCGGGTACTGAATTTCAAGGGGCTGTGAAACGTTATTGTAAAGAACTCGAAATTGTCCAAATCAAACTACAAGGTCAGGCAAAGGCTAGCCTGGCTGAAATTCGTATCAAACTGATCAAATCACGACTTTGGAAATATTTTACTGAACACGGGACCTCAGAATGGGTCAAAATTTTGCCAAAAATTGTAGAGGCGCTCAATAACACACCCACGCAACCTCTAGGGAACCGGGCCCCCAATGAAATTGACCATAGTACGCGTTTTCCTCTATTCGAACAAAAACTTGCCCGACTTCCAGATCCTCTTTTAAAAGTTGGCGATCATGTGGTAGTCAAAAAACATTTGGAAGCTTTTCGAAAAGGTTATACGCCAACAATGAATCTCGAAGTTTTTGTCATTGAAACGGTGCGCATTTCCAAAAATTTTGACGCTCCCGTCTATGTTATTCAGGATTTGCGCGGAGAATCTATCGACGGTTTTTGGTACAAGGAGGAACTTACAAAAATTGCAAAGCCAAAACTTTTTGAAATTGATAAAATTTTGCGTAAAAAGACGTTGGCTGGTGAAAAGCTTGCTCTAGTCAAGTACAAGGGCTATTCGAAACTATTTAATTCTTGGATACCTCTCAAAAACCTCATTCTTTCTGATAATAATGGACGAGGAGGCTATGCACCCCTACCGGCCACCATCTGATCATTCTTTTGCCAATAATTCTTCACTTTTGCTGACAAAGGCGCGAGTGCTAATTATTCTTTTGATTGTTGTTGCCTGTTTGGCTAATCTATTTTTGACCAATATAAGAGGCGGCGACGTTACCATTTGGCTCAGTACTACATTGTCTGTTGCTTGCCTGCTTGTTCCTTCTCCTTTGAAAAATAAAGTTCTTGGATAACAATTTTTACGTTACTGTTGTGGGCCCTTCACTTAAACGCGGGAATTTTCTAACTTGCCGCCTAGGGCGCGAAATTGCCCTCTTTGATCCAAATGGGCGCCAAGGTCAGTGGGGCTGTGCTTTGGTAGAATTTTCTTCGATTGGAGTGCTTGATCAAATTTCTGAAGTACAAAAAATTCGTTATTTACCTCAGACAGGGCCTGAACAATCTTTTCTCTTTTTACCGGGAAACTATTCGACGCCGCAAGCCCTTGTCACTGCTTTGAATGCTCTCTTTGAAAATGTTAGGCGAAAACGAGCCGCTCTAGAAGCAACTGTTGTAGAACCAAAAGTTTCCAAGGCTATTCCTAAAAATGAACCAGTTTCTAAGCCAATTGCCAAAAATGACGATTCTTCCAAGCCTATTGTTGCAAATGCGACGCCTGCGGAAGCCTTGACGACGCCTGCGGAAGCCTTGGCAACGCCTGCGGAAGCCTTGGCGACGCCTGCGCCTGGCTCGGCGACCCCTGCGCCTGGCTCGGCGACCCCTGCGGAAGCCTTGGCGACGCCTGCGCGTGGCTCGGCGACCCCTGCGGAAGCCTTGGCGCCGCCTGCGCGTGCCGAGACCCAAATTTACCAGAAAGTTGTCGAAGCGAAAGCGGGCTCGGCGACTCGTCCGGCCAGAGAGGAGGAGATAATTGCTCCCCAGCCTGCGCCCATTGGGTCCGAGTCTACTGTAATATCAAAGCCTGTGCCCGCCAATGCTCAGATTTCAAAACCGATCCCTCAAAACGAGCCTCTCGCCAAAGAGACACCAAAAGCTGTAGAAAATGGTCCGATAACTGTTGAACTGCCAAAAGTTGCAATATCGCGTGTGGCCCCGGCTTCTGTCGTGGACGTTTTGTGGTCAAAACCTTCCAAATTGGGTGTCGCTTTTAGTTTTGATCAAGTTAGACAAAGATTTCATATTTCCCTAGATGGCCAGGTTGTAAAACAAATCATTTTACCTAGATTACTGTGGCAAATGCTCGGTTTCGAATATAGTACAATCAAGGGTTCTAGATTTGCCAAATATTTGCCAGATTTGCAGTCTGGCTGTCGTTCTTTGCGCGTTTATTGTAATTTGCTCGAACCACACATTGTGGGAAAGGACTGGCTTGAAATTTTGCGTATAATTCCAAACGATACTGCCCCTGGCGTTTCCTTTACAAAAAGCTTTAATCCTCCTCTTTATTTTCCACTTCGGCAAGGCCATTTTGACACTATAAATTTGTATATTACCGACGAATTTGATCGTGAGCTGCCATTAATTTTTGATTCTACTCGAGCTCTACTACATTTTAAAAAACTTTGGTAACATGTGGCACGGTGGTTATACGCCTGTCAATTGTGATACTATTCCCTGGTCTTTTAGCCAAGGTTTGGCGCCCCGCCTACGCAAAAATCAGTCTGGTGGCGGCAAATTTTTGATCCCTGCCAGTTCCCAAAAGCTTGAATCTTTGGCGCCTCCTGAGCCCTTGCCAAATTTGGCCGAAAATGTTGCTGTAAAACGGGTTAAGAAACGCAAGACTCTTAAAAAACCTGCAAAGAAGCTAGCCATCGTTGGTGAGGGTACAAAAGGCGCTAAACGTCGCACAAAAATCATTCTTACTACTCTGCCGCCCATTAATTCTAAAAAATGACCAATGTCAAAGCCCTTGAGCCCAATCCAGAATTGACTTTTACTGAATCTCTTTCAATTTTTGAGCCAATTTCGCACGTTGTTGGAATTCAAAACACGCTCTATCGCACAATTCCCCCAGAAAATTCTAGTCTGAGCAAATCAGGCCCCATCAATTTTCGTATTTACAAGCCCCAAAATTATGTCTCGCTTCAGAAAAGTTTTTTGCAATTTCGACTACGAATTTTGGATCAAGAAGGTAAGGGATATCCGTATTATGTTGACAAAACTATTGTCAAAGACGGAAAAAATGTAAGTGTTGTCGCCCCTGGCGAATTTTGCAGCCCAATTTTGTATGCTGCCCGCGCCTTTTTCAAATGTATCGAGGTTAGTATCGGAGGTGTAAATGTTGAGCGAACTTCTTTGCATTCGTATCGCGCCTTTTTGAATGCCGAATTTTTTACCGATATTTCTG